AAAAAAATCACGAGCCAAAAGCCTGAGCAATCTATTGCTATTCGTTTATCAATTAATTTATGGTTAATCAAAAAAGTATCTACTTACAATTTTTCTGGTAAAACTTTATTGATATCCAATGCTATCGTCTTTCTATTGACAGCCCCTTGAGGATTGAGGAACACTAGTGGACGACGTTGAATGTTCCTTAGCTCTGCTGTTAACAAATTGAGACTGTTGGTGTTTGCTGGAAGAGAATTGGTTACTTCCCGACATGTCGATTTCTGCCACTTTCTTACGTACATGGGCAACTCGTTGCATTGTAGACTCAGAGATGCTATTATTAGATGGGTAATGATGAGAAGAAACACAAAATGATACTTTTATTCTAAATAATAATAACAATAATTCGATAAATTTGACAACGTTGCTTGTTAAAAGGGAACAATGGGCAGTGAAATTAATCGCACCATTTATTCATTGGCCGCTTTAGGTGTTTGGCCAAATTTGTTGAATTATTGCTTGGGCTTTGTATCACACAATTGTGTAAGCCAGTAGTACTGGAAGGTTAATTAAAAACAATTTTGTTAATATATGTTAGTAACTTTTATTATACTTGCGACTTTATGTATATAATTAACAAGTATTGTAAAATTGTCAGAAATTTTCAAAGCCGTCGATTTCATCAATTCATTTCATCAATACTTAACATATTAGTTATACTATCAACTATTTATCGGGAATTGCTCTTTTAGAAAGAGGCTGCCGTGTATATGTTAATTTTTTTTGCTGAGATGTTGATACAACTGTCCTTAATATTACGGAGAAATTTGATCATCTTCAGTTAAGTATTTTGTTATTTGCATTCAACTACGTCGGTTAACTACAATCATGTTTGGCAATCATTACAATGAACAAAATTTTTGAACAAAGGGTTTGTCTTAATTTTGTGTTTTGAACGAAATTTTGTACGTTGAATCATTGAATGTTATTCATAAACCCATGGCAACTGTACTTTCTCAAAAAATTCTGGCTTTGAGTGGTATAAGGCATTGGCAGAAAGCTGAGTCGTGAAAAATCTGAACGTCCATCCAAGTCTCCAATGAATGAAAACGTTGCCTCAATCGAGGAAATGGTACTGCAAAACCATCATTTAGGCTCTAAGGACCTAAATGATGTTCTGCTTTTGACCTTATCGAATCTGACGAATCAATTACACCATCAAATTTGCTGTTCGACACGTTCCACAAGTGTTGAACTTTTTCTTCCCATAAGACCCATATTGTAAACGCTTTTTTCGCCAAAACTCATAAAATATCATGGAACAACCACCGTATTCACTAGATTTATCATCCTATAAATTTTTTTCTTTCCAAAACATAAATTGCCACTTGTTAGAACCGCTTTGGGTCGATAGATGCCACTAAGTAAAAATTAGGGTGCCGAAGGAGATCCTTTTAAAGGCTTTTAAAAAGAGCTTTGGAGATTGGATTAATTGTTGGCATATGTCCATTATTCAAATAGGGTCTATTTTAAAGGCGATAAAAATTTAATGATTAAGCAATTTTTTAGGATTTTATGAAACAATTTCCAATACTTAGTTGATAATATGTGTATATCGATCTAAGTCATGAAAAAACAATTTTTTATTTAAGGATCAGTAACACACTTTTACTTATAAGTAATTTTAATAATAATTGTATCAAATAATCAAGTGTTCATTAAAGTTTCTTAAGAATTTTTTATGAGTAAATTACCTAATATCACTCAAATTAACACGATAAAACTTTCTTTTTTTAACATCTTATTATAGAAGAGTTAAAGATAAGCAGAAACAATCACATGTATAAAAGCGCTTAAAGTTGTGCAGTTACATTTTTGCTAACAACTTATTATGTCAATTATATTTAAGGGAAAATCTTAAATATCACAATTCTAAATCACAGCTTATTATAAATCCAAACGTGCATTGTTAATGAAAATGTGTAAAATACGATATTAACAACGAATCTTTAGATTTATGGTGTCATCGTTTAACAATAAATGTATTACACTATGCAAAATCACTCAGTGAGTGTTCTCAGCAATATATAATTATATCTTAATATATTTATGAATGAAATATTATACTATCACAAAAATTAGAATGTTATTTTGTATAAACTTGAATGCAAAAACAAAAACAAATACAGACAACCCTCCATATATACACTATATACATACTATGCGGAGCTAAAATTGCGAAAGCTTTTCTATAACGCGTTACTCTCACAGCGCGTTATAGGAAACAGCCCATACGTTTCTTCCGCGCGGTAGAAAAAAAACTAGTACAATCAACCCTCCGTTAAACCAGTACTATGGAAACACGATTCCCATACTACGCGGAGCCAAAAATGGTTAACGTGTTCCTTCCACGCAACCTATGAATGAGTTTTTGACTTTGGCAAACTTTCACGGACATTAGTACTAGTTTTTTAGTTTAAACTAAAATCGCTTTTTTAGCTTTTGCTCTATTTTTTTAAAATACTCTCTTCAATTCCATAAAACAATGTATTACTTTTTAAATTCTTTGATTGGAATTTAGTATAGCATTTTACCACTTAAAATTTTTTAAGTCTAAATCATTTTTATATCTGTATACATTATAAATCGGGATTCGATCCGACTTCGAATAATTCGACGCATGAAGGCATGCGTAATGCGTAAAGTAAAAAAGCAGGTACAGGAAAATTTGGCCAACATCGAAGCTGGCTTGATGTTTTCTTTTTGTTTGGCATCTCAGGTAAATAAACAAATCTGCGATTTGTACTAATTAGTTATTTCATATAGCACGATTCCCATACAACGAGATAACAACTTTCCATAGAACGCACTACAAATTAGTCTGGATTGCACGACAAATCCAGGTTTTTATAGCACGATTCCCATATTACACGCTACGCATTGGTTGCGTTAATGGAGGGTTCACTGTAACTAGATATTGTAAGCTAGAATAAGTTTTACTTTCGACCCTTCGTTCTTTTACAATATGTCACTTTAAATGAGGAAAAATGAAGAAATTAATTGATGCACCTGCCTCAAGTGTACGAGAAAATGAAAATAAGAAAATACAGTAGACTCCAAATTTAAAAGGGATAAATTTGACTGAAGATTTAGAACCTCTGTTGCATTCAAATTTATTGTTCAACGATGCGGTTGGCTTATCTTATTCAACAAACCAACGGCTTATCTATATTTGATGTATTAAAATTTAAATTAATTTATCATATCTTTCATCATATATATATTTTTCATCATATCTTTATACAAACTCTTCAATTCAATAAAAATATTTATAATCGATCGTGTATTTTATTCGTCTTTATATTACGCGGTATGAATGATTTGAAATGTACTTACGCTGAGTTTCTTATAACGCGATATAGCCGATTATCCATAAAACGCGCTACGAAATGGGTGGGTTAAATCCGAGTTTTTTATAGCACAGTTTCCGCATTACTTAGTACGTTCTCATCACGTTATAGAGGGTTGATTGTATTCGTAGATATAAATAGAAACTCAAATATACATTTTTACAAAAATTAACATTAAAGTAGTTAGTCTTTACGAAGAATTTGTTTCTTATTCGTTCTCGGATGGCTAAATAATATTTAGAGCTAAGCCGACTGTTTGGATCATCGCACCATTGACTTGTAGTCATGTCCTAATTAGGCTTACATAAAATTATCGAATAAAGTAAAATGATTGTACAAGATTATTCAACAACGTATCACATGAGTGCTACCATTAAATTAGTATTAATCTAATTTGTTTAATAAAATCGTTAGCTTGAACCATCATTATCGCTACCTTTAAACTTGAAGAATGCTGCACACGCGCCGTTCCATGCTGCGGCCTGGAACTCAACTAAAAAATATAATTATATATAATATATATAATATAATATAATATAATATAATATAATATATATATATATATAGGACAGGGTCGCGCGTTCGATTCCCCGCTCTGGCAACCTGACATCGGGCAGCGCGATGTCCATGTTCAATTGAAAATATAGATCAAAATATGTTTCCAATTGAAAATAAGCCCATCTCGGGCACTGCGGTGTGAAATGGAAATGGGAAAAACTCTCACACTACTTCTTCCCTGAATCGAGTTGGAGTTTAACTCAGCTCACGGACCTGCCCTAGGGCAGCACTACCCATTATATATATATATATATATATATATATATATATATATATATATATATATATAAATTCGTATCTTATCGTATAATACTTACACTCGCAGCTTTAGTGCTTCCAGGAGACAAGGTTCTCGAGTGTCTTTGTCTAGTGGCTGGAAGAACCGCCGATCTCGCCGTCTGAGCACCAGTAATCGGAATGGTTCCGAGTGGGGCTGGCTGCTGATTTTGTTGATTTGTCTGCTGATGCAGATGTTGATTGTGCACCTGTTGTTGTTGTTGCTGCTGAGCACGAGCATACATGCCGTACTTACGCTCGTCGTTCTGACGCAAAGAGCCAGTCTTTTCTAAGGCTAAGTAGATCTTAAATAATAAAAAAAATATGTACATTTATTGGCCTCCTTTTAACTACCTACAGTTAGTGCCAATAAAATGATATTTTATAAATCTTTTTATGAAGTGGATATTTATGATAGTCATAAAATGATACAAAGCGGAGTATGGCATCGTAACTTGAAGGAAATCGACTTTTTGAAACATTGAAATTGATCATCCATTTGGAAACCTAAACTTCTAAGACAATTTGTAGAACATTAATATAAGTAGGTCCCTTTTAAATAGATTTAACATTGTTCAACTCACATGCTCCACTAATCCATAACTCCTGATTAAAAAATCGCGTTGTGCCAGCATTCCAAGACGTTCACGTTCTTCGGCATCTACGATCGGTTCAGGTTCGAATGGTGAATCGTTCGAGCCGCTCAGGGATCTGAAAAAAAAATCGGCTTAAATACTATATAGACTCTTCAGTGATATGTCTATTATATAGACATATAACTGAAGATAATTCCAATGGCAACTTATACTTTTATATAGAACTAGCTGACCCGGCAAACGTTGTTTTGCTAAGTAAGTAAGTAAGGTATATTCTAAACAATTTCTAGAGAATCAAAAATATTAATACTTCAAGTGTATAAGGATGTGTTGTTTGAATGCTACAAACAATGAGGTATTATAAAAACAATAATCGCCGTTAGTTTGTCTATATTTTGTCTATACAATTAAACTGGAAGTTTTATACACTTTCTATAAAAAACATTATAATCCATCCAAGTCATTTTTGGTGTTTTGACTTATTGATTACGTTTCAAGTTTTTCAGATTCTTTTTGGATTTGGGATTTTGTGTATAATTGTAAATAATACTACTGAGCTTATACAAAATTTTCAAATTTTTGCGAGGAAAGATAGAAAATGAATTAAGTATTTCTTCTTTGACCTGCTTTTTGAAAAGTTTTAAGTAACATTCGATGAATTAAAGTAAATTTAATAAAAAGTATATATGTAGAGCAGGGCGAGGCACAAAGGTCCAATTTGACTTTCAGCAAATAAAAACTATATTGTGAAAACCATAACAATTATATCACAACAAATAACACATATCAAACAAACAATTATCTGACTACGTGCAAGTAAACTGCCTTCTACTTCATCATTGTAGAAATGTGCTTTTTTGATGTCTTTTAAAAATCTGTTATCTAGACCTTTTTACCCTATAGGCGGGGTAACTTGAAACGGGTAGGTGACAAAAAGGTTTAAATCCTTATTATAATTTAAAGGCATTTTACAAAATAATTGCATTTTTAACTAATGCTTAAAAACTACCAACGGAAGAAAATACTTTTATTATGGATTTTCAAAGATTACCGTTTATCTCCCCCATTTCAAAAATTACCGTTTTCAAATCAAGGTTTTAGCTGGTTATACATCTTTTTTACTTTTCATATATTACCATCTATTCTTCGATAAATTCTGGGAAATTATAACTGGGAAAGTGTTATTCGACAAAATGTCCCTTTGATCAATACCAAATTTTGGTTCTGAATTTAAATAACATAAATAAAAAATAATATAACCTAGAAAATGTTTCATAAATGCCAAGGAGTATATAATTATACAAATGCGATCTTTCAGAGCACCGTGTTTGAGAAAAATATGCCAAAAAGTGCATTTTCATATTAACATTTCAAAAAAGTTGATATTTTGAGTCTCTAGTAACACTTGCGGCCCGTTTACTAACGTTTTAGTATATAAATAAAACTACAAACAAAACTACTTACTACAATTTAATCATAATTAAATAATAATCACGTAAAACATCCTATTAAACGTAAATGAACATCATCTGTCAAAAACGTTTGACATTTCATCTATTAGCCACCGTCCATTGTTTTATTCAAATTACGCTTCTACAAAAATTTTCAAATTAAAAATGTAAAGTTTCTACGCGATTTGGAAATAATATCTCACCTTTCCGACCATCTCTGGATTGGGACGAATTTTTCAAGACTAAGACTGGCCAAATCGGTTCAGCCGTTTTCGAGTTTTACCGAATCATTTGATCGAGAGCTCCATTTTTATATAAAAGATTAGACAGCTTGAGTCGCAAGGAAATAATGCTACAATGTTTAGTGCTTTCATAATTGATAGAATTACGATATATTTGTCTTTTTATTTTATAATGAATTTTTTATGTTCAAAAATAAATACATAATTGACAAGCAAATCTTACTAAAAACCTGTACATTTTCGATTTATCTCACCGCTAACTTCCATTTTTATTTTACACGACCTGCCAAACTCACAGTGCAATTAAATTAAAAAGAAATCTTTGGCTCTTATTGAATTTTTGACTCATGGTTAATTCATTTAGCCGTTATTGGATCCAAGCACTTGGTGAATTCCAATTTGAACAAAAGTTAGGAAACTTGGTTTATTCATTATTTTTCATATTGTGACATTCATAATACTGAGAAATATTAAATTTATTAAATTTGCAAATAACTTGCAGGAATTTTATGATTTTGGTCTAAAAATTTGAATAGAAACATTCCTGCGTGAGTACGTAATAGAGAAATATTCCCCTACGGGGGAATTAATAACTTTTACTTGAAAATGTCAAAAATTTTAAATACGGATACCGATCAGATGGATTTAGAATGCTCCCCAGTCAAACCGAAAAAGGTCTATACGAGTGCTAACAAGTATAAGAGGTCTAATACAGATATTGTTGAAGAAGATTCTTTACATCAGAAAAATGACTCAATTTCCCTAAATGAATTTAATCAAGAAGCAACCACCAGTAAGGATTCAGAATGGTTTTGAAGTAAGAAACAAAAAATTCAAAAGAAATTTAAATGAAGAATCAACATGCAAAAAAACATCTTCAAATTCGAACTACTGGCTAAACCCAACTCCCACAAGCAATATATATGAAGTTTTAGCTAATCCTAATACCGAAGACTCGAGTGATAAATGCAGCCCAGTTAACAGACCGCCGCCAATTTTTATACATGAGGTACGTGATATCAAACCATTAGCTCAACTCTTAGAATGTGAAGCAAAAAATCTTTATCAAATAAAAGTTATTGACGAAACTAGGGTTAGAGTTAATCTTGATAATGCTAAACTTTACAATAAAATTCTCAAACTTCTGAAAGAGAGGGGTACTCAAATGCATTCTTTCCAGGAGAAATGTAAAAGAACGTTCAAAATAGTGGTTAAAAACCTACATTTCAGCACGGATACAGATATGCTCAAAAATGAAATACAACAGTTAGGTCACAAAGTCGTTCGTATTGAGAACATTAAAAGCAGAATCTCAAAATTCCCTCTGAACATGTTTTTAATTGAGCTTGAACAACAGCCTAATAATAAAGATTTTTATAAAATTGATTTTTATTTTATATAAAACTAAAGTAGAAATAGAGGCAAAGAGGTTCTCTAGAGAAATTGTTCAGTGCACTCGCTGCCAAAGGTATGGTCATACCAGAAATTATTGCCACCGCACCCCCAGATGCGTTAAATGCGCTCAAGATCACTTGACAGAAAAATGCAAGTGGGAAAAAAAGGTCGACCAAGTGAAGTGTGTCCTTTGTAATGAAAATCACCCTGCTAACTATAAAGGCTGTCACGTCTATAAAGAATATATTGAAAAAAAAAACACTTCATTACGTCAGAAAACAAGTAATGTGCAAAATTTAAAACCAAATGCTACTTTAAGACCGGGCGTAACTTACTCCAATATTACTAGAAACAACACAACTTTACCTACTGACTCAACGAACTCAATAAACAATAGTAACTCTGAAAACAATACTAACAATAAATGTAATGACTTAACAGAACTTAAAAACATGATTAAAATATTGACAGAACAAATGGGCATAATGCTTAATTTACTAACAACAATTTTATCTAATAAAAAATAATTATGTCTATGCAACTAACAATTTGCATATGGAACTCGAACGGCTTGAGCAATCATGTCCATGAACTCAAACAATTTTTAACTACCAATGACGTAGACATTATGCTAATTTCCGAGACGCATTTTACCGAGACAAATCACAATATTCGTTTTCCTAATTATCACACATATACCACAAATCACCCGGACGACAGACCTCACGGTGGCACTGCCATTATCATAAAGTCAAACATAAGACATTACGAGACAGAACCTTTTTATACTGACTACATACAATCGACAAATGTTTTAATTGACCTAATGACTCACAAAATTACAGTATCGGCAATCTATTGTCCGCCAAGGCACATTATTACTGAAAATCAGTTTACAACTTTTTTTACCAGCCTTGGAAATTTGTTTATTGCGGGAGGTGATTATAACGCAAAGCACACATTTTGGGGATCTAGACTAATAACACCTAGAGGCCGTCAGTTGTATAATACAATAAATAATAATAATCTTCGGACATTTTCTACGGGTGAGCCCACATACTGGCCAACTGATTTGAACAAAATTCCAGACCTCCTCGATTTTTTTGTAGCCAAAAATATTAAAAACGAGAGTGTTGAAATAAATTCAAGTCTGGATCTCAGTTCTGATCATTCACCAGTAATTCTTAAATACTCCACTAATACTCCAACCAAAGTCATGAGTTCGCTTACAAACAAATTTACCGATTGGCTTCTTTTCCAAGAATACATCGAAGACACCATTAACTGTAATATTCCATTAAAAAGTGAGAATGATTTGAATATCGGTATCAACAACTTCACAAATACATTAATTGCAGCAGCTAAAATATCGACTCCTATTCTAAATCACAATCACAGTCACTCTGTGCCCATAGATATTAAAAAAATCATTGCACAGAAAAGGAAATTAAGAAGAATTTGGCAAATAACTAGATCACCGGAAGATAAAAGAAAATTTAACAGTGCATGCAGAGACCTGAAAAATTTAATAATAAATTATAAAAATATTTCTTTTGAAAACTACTTACATAATCTTTCTGCAAGTAGTGAAACAAATTATTCTCTTTGGAAAGCAACCAAAAAATTGAAAAGACCAATTGTACCAATTCCTCCTTTAAGAAAAACAGACGGTTCATGGGCAAGAAGTCCAGAAGAAAAAACTAATGCATTCGCCGAACACCTGCGCCTCACATTTCAGCCATTTTCACGTAAATGCAACTCTAATGATGAACAATTCATTTATGATTTTCTTCAGGATTCACCGTCGCTAGTGACTCATGATGTTAATCGTTTTACTGCGGCTGAAGTAACCCAAGAAATTGCAAAAGCAAATTCTAGAAAATCACCTGGACCAGACCGGATTTCTATTAAAATGCTTAAAGAACTTCCAAGAAAAGCTATTAGAATGCTCACAATAATATATAACTCTATACTGAGAATGAAAACTTTTCCGCAGTCTTGGAAAAGAGCTAAAATAATCCTTATAGTGAAACCAGGTAAAGACCCTTATCTATTATCTTCCTACCGGCCGATAAGTTTATTGTCTTGCATATCGAAAATATTTGAAAAGCTAATTCTTCAACGGATTAAAATAATCCTACAAGAACAAAGTTTTATTCCGAACCATCAATTTGGGTTTCGCGACAAACATTCAACAATTGAGCAAGTTCACAGAATAATAAACGTAATAACAATGCGCTGCATAATAAAGAGTACTGTTCTGCGGCTTTTTTGGATCTCAAGCAGGCATTTGACAAAGTATGGCATACCGGATTAATGTATAAAGTTAAAAGATGTTTACCAGATTCTTTATTCCTATTAATAAAATCCTATTTACAAAATAGAAACTTTTTTGTCAGCATCGCCGATACGGACTCAAATATTACCGAAATTAATTCTGGAGTGCCTCAAGGGAGTGTCCTCGCCCCAACACTATTTTTAATTTTTACAGCTGATTTTCCAACTTCAACTGACACGAGTTTAGCCACATTTGCTGATGATACGTGCATCATCGCCACAAACAAAGATCCGACTGCAGCTTCCAACAGCCTTCAGCACCATCTCAGCTTAGCTGAGAAATGGTTTTCGTTGTGGAGGATAGAAGTAAATAGCACAAAATCAGTCCATATAACTTTCACGCTTCGCACCCAAACTTGCCCAGCAGTTGTACTCAACGATGAAATTATTCCGTCCAAAGAATCAATAAAGTATCTCGGCATTCACTTAGATAGGAAACTCAACTGGAAAGTACACATAAAGAACAAAAAACAACAAATAGATCTAATCTTCAAAAATTATTATTGGCTCTTAAACAGAAAATCAGAATTATCAACTTACAACAAATTACTTATATATAAGGCTGTGATCAAACCCGTGTGGACCTACGGATTACAACTTTGGGGTACTGCTAAAAAGAGCAATTTAAACATAATACAACGAGCACAAAACAAATTCCTGCGGCAAATATTAAACGCTCCTCACTACACGCCAACATGGATTCTCCACAAAGACACGGGTATACCTACAATTCAAGAACATATATCAATGTTTGCCTGTAATTATAAGAATAGAATTGACGCACATCCAAACCAACTAGCATGCAACTTATACCAGGAAGGCCAGCCGACCAGGCTCAAAAGGAAAATACCTCGAGATTTATTATAGTTTATTTTTATATTTATATTTTTTTTCTCTATATTTGTCTTTAGTTTTTTCTTTTTTATATATTAACTATAGTAGATACACCACTGGGCGTATGTGCTAATTTGTAAACAACCAATTGTAAACACTTGTCAGCATTCTCTGCTAAATATAATTATTTTTATAGATTGCAGAATAAAAATAAAATAAAAAATATAAAAAATAATATTCATTATTTTTTGTGTTAAAAAAAATATTGTTTTTAAATCTATGAAAAGCTCTATATTAAACCGGTGAGTAAAGAATTTTCCATAGGTACAACTTAAAATGCAAAGTTTTCCAAGTTTAATATTAAAACTAATGACAAACAAGACAAATTCTAGCACTTAAATATTCTTAAACGATTGTCAATTTAGTGACATAACTAAACAATATTATGGAAACAGTTACAGGATCATATTCTTACCATAATAGGCTTACAATTGAGCCAAAAATATTAGCAGAAATATTACAATATTTTTAAATATTTCTGTTTCACAAAGTCTGACAAAGCCTTTCATTTGTAAAAGTTTGCTTACTTAATTAAATAGTTCTATTAAACGGTACCAGACGTGGTAATTTATAATACTTAGACCGCAGTACGACTTAAGTAACCGTACCTTAAGCCTTAGTTTTAGGTAACTTTTTTTTCGAAACGTTATTTTTTCTTTCAAATTTATTTTTCTTTCTTTTTTGTTTTCTATTTCTTTGAGAAAAGTTAAATTCTCGACGGCGCAAAAAAAAACGATAGAGGAGGAAGACCATCAATAGTCTTTCACGCTTTCATAATTACTTCATAAATCGGCTTCCGGGGGTGAAATTTAAAAAGATCCAGTTGAACATGGCCTAAGGTGCCCATATTAACGTCCCATAAGGTAAGTTATATTAATGGCAAAAAATAGAAAATGATATTTCCACACTAGTAAATTGTATCCTTACCTTCCCTTAGTGGACAACCTTGTTTTCCTAATTGCCGTCTTCACAGTTCTTGCAGTTGATGTTTTCTTGGATGTCGACAGAGTAGAAATTGGAGAATCGGATCGGTTGTTTTTGCCGCTGACAACACTCGCATTGGTGGCGGTCGTGGTGGACGCGTTGTCCGCCGTCAAAGAACTTTTACTCTTAGGGCCTAGGCATTTGGCCGCTTCTGCACGAGCTTTCAACTTTAAATTAAATTAAATTTATTATTCATACATTTCAAAAATTGATTATCAATAGTATGGATTTCTATTCGAATTCAAAATTTATAATGCAAAAAGATAAAACCTATAACAAAATATTTTCCTAATTTAATGCTATTGTTAGAATAAAACAGAAGATTTTTTGCTTTTATACTAAATTATTTAGACAGAAACAGTATAAAATATACTATATTTGCTTAAATTTTATTCCTTTTATTTTTATAAGATGTCTCAAAGCCACGTAAATATTTATTTTATTTATGTCATGATTTTATTCCATGATAACTAAATATGAAGAGTTGGTAGAGAGTGGATCATCCCACAAATCGGGGCAATCTGAGAAACTGTGAGGACATAATGAGTTTTTCACTAAATAATGTTGCCAACCTGAAATAAACATATTTATATGTCATTAAGTAACAGCAAAAAATTACCCAGATAACAGTTACGATTACCCAGAGTGGACGATGGGGCTTTCATTTATATAAAAAATAGAGTAAAATAATTTAAAAATAAATAGTTAGTAGTATATAAGCTAATAGGCGTTCGGGTATATTTCGGTTACCATCCAACGCCTCATATACGAATATTTATAATGTGTAATTTATATTTGAGTATTATTAGTAAAAAAATATTAACTATAAGCATTGAAACTTACCAAAAAATGTATTGTATAAATCAGACAAGTTAAATTAACTAGGTGTAAGTAGCATATTGCCTTAAGGCAAATTGTATGAACTTTTCGATTCACATTCAATTAATAATTGACTTAATAATATAATATATATTTATTATATTATTATATTATTATATATTTATTCACATTCAATTAATAATTGACATAATAATATCTGTAATTATGAATTACAATTAATTATAGTGCACAAACACATGCTTATGCCCTAAATGCGCCGATTATTCTAAATTTTAATGAATTGTATAATTCAACCAATTCTAAGACCGTTAGTGAATAAACTTTATCGTCATGTTAAATTTCATCAAAAACCTCGATACATTTTTTTAAAAAACTTAATAAATTATTTTGTGAAATTTTAAGCATCTGCTATAAGAAAATATGGCACCATTGCGTATATCATGTACATAGTCTTTTATATTATTCAATCATTTAAATTAATGGTTACATTATTTACACAACTAACAAATTTTTGTAGGCAGTTTTGCACGTTAGGTGACACAGTGAGAAACTATTTAGATAATGAATGAAAAAAAAGACGGATTAACCGATTTAAATGGCTCAAAAAACATTCGATTCCTATTGATAGAGAGATGTGCTGATTAGTTTTTGGCAAAGACAGGTCCAGCCGTTTCGGAGATACGAAGCGAAGTTCGTAGAAAATAGAAATCGAGTTTCTGAGATAACGGAGCATCCGATTTGAATGATCCAAAAAGCATTCAATTCGTAATGATAGGGAGAAGTGGTGATTAGATTTTCGTAAAGGCAGGTCATGCCGTTTTGGAGTTACAGAGTTAAATATGCAAAAATGTCAGTTTTTGAGAGAACTAAGCATCCAATTTGAATGATTCAGAAAACTTTCTGCTTGTGTTGACAAAATGATTGCTCTTGGAAAAAAAAATGTTTCATTTTTTTTAAATCCAAACAATGTTTTTTAACTAAATTTTATTCTCGAATTTTTCATTATGATACGGAAAATTCCAGCAATTTGCCTTAAGGCACGATGCCATACACCACTAGTTTTCATTATATAATTACGAAGAAATGACCCGGCTGATCATGAATCAACAGGATTCCCAACCAATATACTTCAAAAAGTTTTATAATTTTTTAAAATCGATTCAGCACTTCGGGATAAAACGGTCATTTATTTTCACTTTCTGCTAATTTCAAGAAAATGACTCTTGGCCGATCATTGTGCCAAATTAATCAACCTTATTGTAGATAGAGACCTTATTGTAATACATCGAATGGCTTTTAAACTTTTGAATTCGGCCCATCCGTTTACAAGTATACATGAATGAAAAATTCTGCACGTTTCTGCTAATTCTAAAGAAATGACTTGGCCAATCGCCGCACAAAACTGAAAACTAATATCGAATGGCTTTTCAAATTAGCAAATTGGACTTTTTGGCGAAAATTAACTCCTCCTTCGGGTAATTACAAAATGATAATTTTAATATTATAAATGACTATTTTCTTAACAAACTTATAGTACGTCGAATGTTAGTTGTATATTTATCTTTGCGAGTGAAAGGAGTATCAGAAAATCGTAATGCATTAGAAAGTGTGGTCTATAGTACATGTGCAAAATTACATCTCGTGTCTAGATGCAGATTGAAGATGCGAAGTGTGTTAAACAAGCATCGGTGGTTCAGTGGTAGAATGCTCGCCTGCCACGCGGGCGGCCCGGGTTCGATTCCCGGCCGATGCAAGTTTTTTATGGATGTTTTGCGAAATGAAGTATTTTAATAATATATGTTTTTTACATTTACAAACTTGTATTATAATATTCATGTCAATGTTTATGTATATTATGCGCTGCACTAGTCTATAGCAGAGGTCGATAATCTTTCACTCAAAGGTCAAGTGACCTTTTTTGAGTAACATACTATATTGTTATCGTCTGTATCACGAAGTCTTATTTGTTATCATCAAATATTCTCTGTTGTTAAGTTGTTAATGTATTCTTTTATAAATAATTAAATGAATTTTTTGTTTAATTTAATTTTTCCATAATGAGTAAACATAGAACAAAGGTGCTTTACCCTGTTTTAGTGTTTTCCGCACACAACAGAAAAGCACTCATTTTAAGGAATTGATTATTTCACTATAATACACGTAGTTTAAACGTTTAACATTTTTTTATTAGATATATTCCATTTATTCAAATAAATTATATCTTATATATAAATTTTCCATGTCACAAAGTTCGTTCCCAAACTCCTCCGAAACAGCTTTACTTATATTTATATTCGCATTCAGTAGGCCCGAGAATCAGCTACTATCTAAATGCTAAGGGTTGTTTATTTTTGGCGATTTTTTAACTTCCCGAAGGAGAAGTTTATGTTTTCATCAAAAAATCCGAATCGCTAATTTTATGTTTTCTCGACGTTTCGAGCCATTCTGAATCGAATGAGACCAAATTTGGAAAAAGTATGTGTGTGTGTGTGTGTGTGTGTGTGTGTATGTGTGTGTGTGTGTGTGTGTGAACAGATTTTTTGCCGTAAATCGACGTTTTCTCCAAAACGGTTGGACCGATTTCAAAAATTTAAAAGCCATTTGATGTATCTCGATGAGGACTATCGTCTCTGAGTTTTGTGCGGCGATCGGCCGGGCCGTTTCTTTGTAAATTGCAGAAAAGTGAAAAATTTTTCGTCCACGTTTTAGCCCGCAATTCTGAATCGATTCTGAAAATTCAAAAACCGTTCGATAGATATTGGTTGGGAATCGTGCTGATTAGTTTTTGGTAAAGATCGGCCTGGCCGTTTTCTTGTAATAAAGTTTTTAAAAAAAAAATTTTGACGATTTTTATGATTATTTTTTTGACGAAAGATACCATAGTTTTCTAGGTCATACTAAAATATTACGGCCCTACAACAACTGGTTCAGCTTTAAAAATTCGTCAAAGTTTGCAAAAATCAGTATGGTCTTTTTGGCATTTGTCAAAATTAGACTTTTGATCGACGTTTCCTCAAAAACGCCTGAACCGATTTTAGAAATTTAAAAGCCATTTGATGTATTTCGGTGAGGACTATCGTTTGTCAGTTTTGTGCAACGATCTGCCTAGCCGTTTCTTCGTAATTTGAAAAAAAGTGTTGAACTTTTCGTCCACATTTAAGCTCATCCTACCGAACCGATTTTAAAAAATCAAAAACTGTTCGAAAGATATCATTTGGGAATGATGCTGATTAATTTTAGGTGAAAATCTACCGAGCCGTTTTCTTGTAATTAACTGTTGAAAAAAAGTGTTAAATTTTCGTCCACATTTAAGCTCATCCTACCGAACCGATTTTAAAAAATCAAAAACTGTTCGAAAGATATCATTTGGGAATGATGCTGATTAATTTTAGGTGAAAATCTACCGAGCCGTTTTCTTGTAATTAACTGTTGAAAAAAAGTGTTACATTTTCGTCCACATTTAAGCTCATCCTACCGAACCGATTTTGAAAAATCAAAAACTGTTCGAAAGATATCATTTGGGAATGATACTGATTAATTTTAGGTGAAAATCTACCGAGCCGTTTTCTTGTAATTAACTGTTGAAAAAAAAAATTTAAGCCGTTTTTCATGGAACTTTTTTTGGCGATATACATCATGGTGTTATAGAACTTACTGTAATATTACGGCCTTACAACAAGTAGTTTAATTTTAAAAATTCGTCAAACTTTGCTAAAATTATTATCGTTTTTTCAAATGTAGGATTGATGAAGTATATTATTTACACATTTTTTTGATCAAGTCGATTACTTACACATATCGGGAAGTTCATGTAATTTGCCTCAAGGCTAAATACCAAACCAACTAGTTTGTTTTTATTATTTAATAATGTGCCATTAAAATACATGTTATTATAACCCTAAATTTTTACTTTTAGTAATTTAATATTTTTTATGCCGCGTTCAATCATTGAATATTTTGACACAATTTTAGTTTAGATTTTTGAGCTTGAAGTAAAAGATTAAAACTTAATTTAAACTGCAATTTATTATTAAGGGTTGTAACCCTAATACTTTTTTTCACTTTGTCTAAACTTAAATAAAATTAGTTTTTAGATCTGAAATCTTATTGATTGTGAATTGAGAAGTTTATGCAACTTGCCTCCAGGCAAAATGCTATTACAGCCAGTTCTATATAAAACGATATGAAAGTATTTTTTATAAGAATCAAAAAAGCATGCATCGGCCGGGAATCGAACCCGGGCCGCCCGCGTGGCAGGCGAGCATTCTACCACTGAACCACCGATGCTTGAGAAGAACTCGCTGTTGATCTTATGCTCTCGGCTTCAACACTATGAGAAATTGAGAGATTTTTGATAATTTTGAAATTTTCGATTAAATTTTACTCCTTTAAAAAACCTTTTTATTATTATTTTTATTAACTTCCCGTAGGGTAAGTTATAGTAATCGCACAAAATTAAAAAATATTTTTTTTATATATCTTTACGTTTCAAAGGTTTCTGAACATTTTGGCATACCATAGAAAAAATGAATGTATGTGCGTGTGTGCGGATACAAATTTTCACGGATCAACCGATTTGAATAATTAATTGACATTTGATTTCTACTGATAACGAGATGTGCTCATTAGTTTTTGGCAAAGGCAGAACTAGCCGTTTCGGAGATAAGGGACAAAAAGTGCCAAAATTGGTATTTCGGTTTTTGAGATAATGGGGCGTGCGATTTAAATAATTCAAAAAACATTTTACTTGTATTGACGAAATGAACAACGGGTAAAATTTTTGTAAAGGCAGGCCAGCGTCTCCAGAGATCCAATAAAAAAGTAAAAAATAATGTTATTTAGCGGTCAAAAATGAACATTAGACATATGTACATCGTATTATCAACTATTTTATAAAGATTATAATAATTAGTACAAATTATTTGTACATTTATATGGGTTCCGTACCAATATTTACTCGTTAAACGATCACGCGGCGCTTACGCGCTTGGATATTTCGATTTCAAATCAGCTGTGCAGCACGTTTGCTTAAAAACAAATGTTTAAAATTTTCAAAAAAAATCAAAATACAAATTATGCAAACTATAAAAAAACAAATTTTTCAAAAAAGTCAAATATTTTCAAAAATTTCAAAAATTTTAACAAAAGTTTTGCAAAGTTTTTTTTAATAAATTAGTTTTCGGTACGCAAAGTTCCAGCAATTAACTTTTATTTCTAGGTTTTTGGTAGCGGTATCACCGGGTTTATTAAAAATACCGAAATACAGGCGTTGAAAATATTTGCCGGTATTACATTCCCTAATTAAAAATATGCCATTGAATTGAAATATCAACACGGTATCGACCATCCCAAACTTTAAGAGCCGCACTGCTCTTTCACAAATAATCGCCCTAGACTTAAAATTATTTAACATAAAATACAACAATATTCTACTCACTTCCATTTCTTCCCTCTGAGCCCTTGAGCATTCAACTCTGACCCTATGAGACACGGTAGTTCCAAAAAGTGAACTGCCCTCCGTCTGATTGAAGAATTTCTCGAATCTGTCCGGATGGCCGGTGCCGGGCATCGGCGGGTAGACCCGGCGGTAACCACCGATGTGAGAGTCTTCCCATTTCGCTTGGGCCGCGCACATATCGGCAATGTCTTTCTTGGTGGGCATCGATTCTGGTCTGGAAAAGATAATAGAAAGATTAATCATTAATGTGTACAAAACAAGAACTAATAGTAATAGTACAATGAAAGTAAATTGAATAATTGAGTAGTCTGATATAATATTTTATTTGGGAAGATGTGTATTTAATATGCTAATTTTATCATCTAGGAGCTTTGAAATTAATCATTTTAAATGTTAGTTTATTATTACTCTTTATTTTTATAATGTCTATAGCCAGGGCCGGTCCTGGGGTCCTCAGCGCCCGCATGCAAAATTTGTTCTAGCGACCCCCCAATAATTTCAACTGTTTTATCAGTTTTTAATTAAAATTATATAAACATTTACTTTATTTTTTTAAATTAATTTTTATTCTGGATTTAGTACACAAAAATTTAGATGTAATCTAAAAGCGTATAAAATACATTGATTTTAAATTTATTTAGAAAATCGAAGCGATTCGCGGGTTGATCATAATCAAATATTTTTAAATTCTCAATTATTTCTAACGTAGGTGTAATATTAATATTTTGGTTTTGAAACATTTAACTTATTTATTATGCGATTTATTCTATAGAGCAAATCACGCCAAAAGAGCAAAAAAAGAATAGTTTTTAATTTTCAAACATAACATTCTTATTTTATGTTCTAAATTAAATTTTATTTTAATTTATTTTTTCATTATTTACAATATCCAAAATTGCATCGTAAACTTCTCTTTATTGGTATCGTAAGAGCCGAATTGTATTCAGCTTTATTTTCCTATCAGATTCAAAGTATCAGATTGTTGTTTTAAAGTTAAACTTTTAACATATTTTTAAAGTATTGTCCAAAATTAGTAAAAGATGCAAAGAAATTACATATTCCCTTAACTGTACTGAAACAAACAAATTATATTTGTATCTGTATTATTTCTGCATAGTTAATAATTAAATTATGTATAAAAAAGCTTAAAGATTTTTGTTCCTAAGTACATTTTGCTTTCATTTTTCATATTTGCTCCATTTTCATAACCCTAACCACGCATGTCTTTAACATTCAAAATTCATCAGAAGCGAAACATTTGCAATAAAAGCAAAAGTTAAAATTCAATTTCTCGGAATAAACATGCCATTTTTTAAGCACTGACTCCCCATTTTTTATTTTCCCGATTATAATTTGTTTATATTTTTTAACAAGTTCCGTTTTAACTAAATCAGCTGGCAATTTTTCGTCAATAATGCCCAATAGTTAATTGAATCTTTCGCAGGTTTGAGCTTATGGGATTGAACACTAGATTATTTTTTTTTCGATTCCACGGTAACTTCAAACAAGGAAAAAATTGAATAAGTAGATTAAGCAATGAAAAGAGCTGTTATTTACTAAATTGCAGAGTTATTATTCGGTTAATTATTTCTACTGATATCACATTGCAAAATAAATGTGAATAAATGCTTTTTGTGTCTTCGTATCCCTAAAAGTCAGATTGTTTATTATAATTTATTATGTATACTAGATTTTATATGAATAATTCTAGATTTTATATAAATAATTCTAGATTTTATAGAAAAAATATAAATATTATATTATAAATTTAATTTCCGAAACTCGTTTTGGCGCCCCCTAAGGCTTGCGCCCGCATTTTTTGCATGCATCGCATGCAAGGCAGGACCGGCCCTGACTATAGCTGTAATTACGAGAAATTTAATAAAAACAAAATGGTATATATAGACAAAATGACACAGCGGTCTAATTATTATAGTTTGGTATGGCAAACACGCCATGCCAAACTAGATACTGATCGACCCATAGCAGCGGATGATACTTGGCTCTTTCCCGATTTTTCTTCAGAGCGAATAAATCTTTTGTTTTGTTTTTCTTTTTTTTATAATCATTTATTCATAAAAATATTATTGTGATTTTTTTGGAGGAAAATTTTCCTTTTCTTCTTCTTTTCCACACAATTGTATCACACCTTTTATATTTAAAATACTTATTATTGTATTGATAGAACAGATAGATGAGGAATGATATATCTACGGGTAGAAATCCGAACAAAATTGGAAGTGTTATGCATACATTCATAACTATTAAAATATATGTCTTTATTATTATTATTAGAGGTCTATTTATTTAAAAATTGGATAGTCTTAATGACGTTTCCGTGACTCTATAATGTGACAAAAGCCATAATAACATTCCTGCCAGATGTTGAGCGTCATTGTCCCAATCTTGTTGCAGTAATCAGTTCAAAAGTGTATCGCACCTTCAAAAGTTGATTTTGATCGTGTTTTCTCATGTTTTTTAGGGTCTTATTTGTTGTTATTTGCAAGTATTTCAATTAAAATCAATGCCTGCACTAGTGATTTCGATTAAATTAATTGCGCTTCTATTATATTATACCCATCTTTGGTTCATTGACTACCTGTAGCATTATTATTAAGGAAAAAATGCAACCCATTACAAAAACTTATATAGTATAGTATGGGCAAAATGACATTTAGGGAAATGCGTACGGAAATGCTAATTTTTAAGAAGACAATTCATAAATGAATTATGTGGTCGTCTTGGGATATCAGCACATGACGCATGAGCCCAAATGGAACAAATTATATAGTGCAGTAAACGGAGCGTTTAGGGTCTGAATTTTTTTACTGTGCTCCGGATTGAATGAAATTTTGGAATTAGGTTCATCTTACCCTCAAGTTCAAAAGTGAAAACAATTCGGGTTGCGCCATCACCCCCCGGGGTATGACACCCCTTCTCAATTGTGTAATTACATTTTTTCGATAGAAGAACTAATTTTAAGAAAAGAATGTCTTTCATAGTTTTTCCAAAAAATTAATACTTTTCAAGTTACTGGCCATTAAAGATTCATATATGTTTGGCGCTTTTCTTCGTTTTTTTGCAAATATCTCCTAAAATATACATTTTAACGAAAATCATGTAATGAACAAATTAATGTCAATAAAAATCTTAACTAGCTGTAAGTGGAATTCTGTCTTAAGGCAATTAAGGCATCGTGCCTTAAGGCAAATTGCTGGAACTTCCCGTACCAAAAATTATTATTTTTTTAAAAACGATTAACATTTTTGAAAAAATTTTACTTCGAAAAAATTAGATTTTTGAACAACTATAAATTTGACAAAAAATTACTTTTTTTTGAAAAAAAATTTTTTTTGATAAAATTTTTTTGAAAAGAAAAATGTTTTCTTCATTTTGACATATTTTAAAAATTCTGAACTTTTTTTCAAAGCAATCGTACTGCTTGAACTGCATAGAGACGAAATGTCAAAGCGGGCAAGTGCCGCGCCGCCGTCTAACGCATAAGCATTGGTACGGAACCCATAGAAATGTAAAAAAAACTAGCTGTAAGTGGAATTCTGTCTTAAGGCAATTAAGGCATCGTGCCGTAAGGCAAATTGCTGGAACTTCCCGTACCAAAAATTATTATTTTTTTTAAAAACGATTAACATTTTTGAAAAAAAAATTACTTTGAAAAAATAAGTTTTTTGAGAAACTATAAATTGGACAAAAAATTACTTTTTTTTGAAAAAAAATTTTAAAAAAAAAATTTTTTTTTTGTTTTTTTTTGAAAAAATTTTTTTTTTTATTTTGACATATTGTGGAAGATCTGAAATTTTTTTCAAAGCAATCGTACTGCTTTAACTGCATAGGGACAAAATATAAAGCGCGTAAGCGCCGCGTCGCTGTCTAACGCATAAGCATTGGTACGGAACCCATAGGAATGTTAACAAAATGTATACTTATTGTTAAAATCTCTATAAAATATCTGATAATTTGATGTGCATATGTCTAATGATCATTTTTGACCGCCAAATGGCTCATTTTTTTACTTTTTCCTCCATATCTCCGAAACCGCTAGACCTGCCTTCATGAAAATTTTATCGATTCTTCATCTTGTCAATACAAGTGAAATGTTTTTTGAATTATTCCAATCGGACGCTTCGTTCTCTTAAAAACTGAGTTACCGTTTTCGGCACTTTTTGCCCCATATCTTCGGAACGGCTAGACCTGCCTTCGCCAAAAACTAATCAGCACGTCTCCTTACCAATACGAATCGAATGTTTTTTGAATTATTGAAATCGGTTGATCCGTGTTCCCGAAATCGTCGACGAAAATTTGTATCCACACATACATACGCACACGTACATACATACACACACACATACACACACATACACACACACACACACACACACATACATCCATTTTTTCTAAGGTATGCCAAAATGTTCAGAAACCTTTGAAACGTAAAGATATATAAAAATTTTCATTTTCGATTTTTTTGCGATTACTATAACTTGCCCTACGGGAAGTTAATTATACTTATTGTTGAAATCTCTATAAAACTAGCTGTAAGTGGAATTCTGTCTTAAGGCAATTAAGACATCGTGCCTTAAGGCAAATTGCTGGAACTTCCCGTACCAAAAATTATTTTTTCTTTTAAAAACAATTAACATTTTTGAAAAAAATTTACTTCGAAAAAATAAGATTTTTGAGAAACTATAATTTGGACAAAAAATTATTTTTTTTTGAAAAAAAAAAAATTTTTTTAATTTTTTTTTTTTGAAAAAAAAAATGTTTTCTTTATTTTGACATATTTCGGAAGATTTAAACTTTTTTTCCAAGCAATCGTACTGCTTTAACTGCATAAAGACGAAATATCAAAGCGCGTAAGCGCCGCGTCGCCGTCTAACGCGTAAACATTGGTACGGAACCCATAGGACTGTAAACCAAATTCATACTTATTGTTAAAATCTCTATAAAATATCTGATAATTTGATGTGCTTATGTCTAATGATCATTTTTGACCGCCAAATGGCATTTTTTTTACTTTTTTCATTAGATCTCTGAAACCGCTGGACTTGCTTCATGAAAATTTTATCAATTCTTCACCTTGTCAATACAAGTAAAATGATTTTTGAATTATTCAAATCGGACGCTCCGTTCTCTTAAAAACTGAGTTACCGTTTTCGGCACTTTTTGCCCCGTATCTTCGGAACGGCTAGACGTGCCTTCGCCAAAAACTAATCAGCACGTCTCCTTATCAATACGAATCGAATGTTTTTTGAATTATTCAAATCGGTTGATCCGTGTTCCCGAAATCGTTGACGAAAATTTGTATCCGCACATACATACACACACGCACATACATACATACATACACACACACACATACATCCATTTTTTCTAAGGTATGCCAAAATGTTCAGAAGCTTTGAAACGTAAAGATATATAAAAATTTTCATTTTCGATTTTTTTGCGATTACTATAACTTGCCCTACGGGAAGTTAATAAATCGGTATTACATAAAGTGTTCTAGGAAAAATATTAAGCAAGATTTGAAAGAGCAAAGTCGTTTTTTATTTCGTTAAGATTTAATTGTTGTATTTGAAGCCATCTAGTGGCGAGGTTTTACATTTTATGCATTTCGGTGAAACTGGGTTTTATAGTGCTCAACATAAGCTTTAAATTGAGTGCTGTTACAAGTTTTTAGCGTGTAAAATGAGTGAGCTATAATGCAAATAAGAAGCATATACGAAGTTTTTTTCTTTTAAATCATATGGGTTAATGAGCGCAATTTCCACCAGAATTAAAGTAATTCACATTCCATCTAGAATTCACTTTATTATAGACCTCTTGATTGATTCCAGCAGATTCACTACTTTAGTACAAACTATTTTTCAGAAAACTCACGATTTTATAAAAACTTTTTTATTCGTTACAATGATATTAAAGATGCAAAAAATTACATCGGCATATTAATCTCTTCGTGTACTGCGATTCGTATTATACAAGCATCGGTGGTTCAGTGGTAGAATGCTCGCCTGCCACGCGGGCGGCCCGGGTTCGATTCCCGGCCGATGCAAAATTATTTTGATTATTTTATTTATTATTTCATTCCAAAATTATAAATAAAATATCATAACTTATCACAATAATATAGTTGAGCTTGTGAACAATATTAAAGTTTATGACAATAATGAAAAATGTATGAATGCATTATATGACTGAAATTTATGACTGCATTGTATCACATTTTTAATATTAAAAGCTGCAATATACTGCCCGATTAAAATTTGAGACTGTAACATATAAAATTTTATTTTTTTTCAATAATTTATTACATTTTAAAGTTTATGGTAACTGAAGATGCGTAAGAAAGTAGAGATATGCAAAAAATTTCATTTTCTATTTTTTACTTTCTCGTAGGGTAAGTTATACGATAGTTATCGCTAAAAAGTCGAAAATGGATTTTTTTTACTTATCTTTGAGTTTCAGGAACTTCTGAACATTTTGGCATACCTTATAAAAAATGAATGTATGTGTGTGTCGTGTGTGGATACAATTTTTCGTTGACGATGTCGAAAGCACGGATCAACCAATTTGAATGATTCAAAAAAACATTCGATTCAAATTGGTGAGGAGACTGGCCAATTAGTTTTTGCCAAAGGCACTCCCAGCCTTTTCGAAGATACGGGGCAAAAAGTGCTGAAGCGTCCAATTTGAATTCAAAAAACATTTTAGTTCTATTTACGAAATGAAGAAATGATTAAATTTCTGGGACGACAGGTTCAGCGGTTTTGGAGATCCAATAAAAAAGTAAAACAAGGCATTTGGAGGTAAAAAATCAAATTATTATACTTTTCCGCTAATTACAAAGAAACGGCTTGTCCGATCGCCGTACAAATATCACGAGCATTAGCCTTTATCCAGTTACATTAAATGGCTTCTAACTTTTTGAAATCCGTCTAGCCTTTTTAAAAAAGGTCAACAATCTGCTCAAATGCACATATTTTTTCCAAATTTGTTCTCATTCGATTCAAAATGACTTGAAATGTCGAGAAAACGAAATTATCAAATCGCGAAACAAACTTTGCTTAATTAGGTATTTAATCTTTCATTTTAAAATCAGTAGCAATATGAGTAAAATTTTTTGCTAAATACAACATATTTTTCAATAATCTATTTCTATATGTATAAGGGTTTGTTGTATGTTCAATGGTAAATTTAGAAATAGTGTTAACATAAGAATAAAATTTGCTATTTCATACTATTTTTTACTATTTACTATTTTTTAAGAAATAGTGGAATTAAGCAGTTTTTTTCGAAATACAGACTATCTACTAAGAAAACATTTACTTTATGGTGGAGGCAATTTTGAAATAAATTTCTACAAAATTTGAAGCGTAGTTTTAGTTAAAGTCCCAAAACAAAGGGCAAATTGTTATAGTTAGCAGACTACAATTGTTTTTTAGAGAAAAAACTATCTCACCATGTATAAGGTCATTACATAATTTTAATGAATTTCATCATACCAATGTTTTGCAGTAGCTATAAATTCTAAGATATTAATAGGTATTGCAAACATTAAGATCATAATTTAGTAATAGTATAGTAAAGCGCGTGATCTAAAATATGAACTTGAACACTTGTAACATTGGTGAAGAATTACCAAAACTAATCAACCCCAAAGAATGAATTAAATGCACTTACACAAAATTATAAGAAACGCTTATATTAATTCTTCATACAGCCGTACGTCTGAAGAAAAAAAATCATGAACACTAAGTTAGAAATTAGGATGATCTGAAGCTGCTTGGCCAGTTTTGCAGTAATTTTTATCTAATATATAAAAAATGGAGCTCAATGAAATGTTAAGTATTATAAAACTCTAATATGGCTGTGCGGATTTGGCCAATCTCAGTCTTGAAATATTCGTGCTAATCCAACGATTGTGTAAAAGATGAGAAATTAAATCAAATCCGCGTAGAAACTTCACATTTTCAATTCAAAAATTTTTGACGTAAAGTAATTTAAAATGAAACAATCGACGGCGGACGGTTATAAGAATGCACTTTTTGGCGTTATAGCGTTTTTTGCAAATCATATTTTTCTCAAACTCGGTGCTCTGAAAGAACTCATTTGTGTAACTATATATTCATTGATATTTATAAAACTATTTCTAGATTATATTAAGTTTTTATTATGTTATTTAAATTAATAGTCTAAATTTGGAATCGATCAAAGAGGACATATTCCCAGTTATAATAGACAACAATTTAAATAAGTAGATTCGGTTGACAAGATATAACTTATAAACACACCCGTAAAAATGTCAATGCACAAAATTACAAGTTATCTGAAATGAAATATTTTGAAAATTGATTATAAAGCTCGCATTCTATTAAATGCATTAACAATTCCAGAATTAGAATGAGTTTGGCATAAAAATGTTTTACTATGTATATGTTTATAAAGCTTGACAAATGTCCTATAATTTTGAAGAAATTCCTTCCAAACCATATGTCAAAATCTATGCATCTTATGCTTCATTAAATTACTCAAAAATTGAAAAAGATGAAAAACTTCAGCTCTAGAAGTTCGTATTAAATTAAACGATTGGATAATACAATGTAAAAATATAATTCAATAATGGTTATTTATCGAATTTGCAATATATTTATCGAAGAATGGATAGTCATATAAAAAGATCCGGGTTTAATAAGGTCTGCCACCCATATCTCAAAAACCAGTACAGTTAAGCATCGTTCAATAACAATATTTGAAAGTAGAGGGAAAAAGATGTATAACCAGCTATAACCTTGATTCTTATGACTTTGCTATCGGGAGATAAATGGTAATCTTTGAAAATCCATAATAAAAATTTTTTTCTTTCGTTGTTAGTTGTTTGGGTTGTGAGCACTATGATTTAATTTACGAGAACTTAATATGAGTTTGAACTATACGTTATGTAAAATGTAATGATGATTTTAAGTGAGATTTAATAGTTTTATTTAAAAGCGGTTTAAAAGCTTACATTCGTGTAGGTTAAGGTTTTAAAGTGGTTATATAAAAACCGAACAATAACCCTGATAAAGTTGTAAAAATAAAAAATAGCAAATAACCAAGTAAATTAAGTTGAATAAAGCAATTTTACAAAATATAAATTATATGAATACTTATTTCAACTCTGTTGATACATATTTCTGACAAAATACCAGATCAAGGTATATATCTGTGGAACATATAGAACTTATATTTTACATTAATTGAATGATGTAATTATTTTTGTAAAATACCTTTAAAGTTAAAAAAGATATTGAACCTGTTTGCCACCTGACCGTCCCAAGTTACCCCGCCTTTGGGGTAAAATGGTCTAGATATTAATTTTTTGTAAAACACAACTATGAAGCTAGCAGTTTTACTGAACATAGTCAGATAATTGTTTGCTTGATATGTGTTCTTTGCTATTATATAATTAACTTGGTTTTAATAATATAAATTACATTTGCTCAAAGTCAAAGTGGACATTTGTGCCCCGCTCTACCCCACATATATAATTATTATTAAATATAATGTAATTCATGGAATGTTACTTAAAACTTTTCATAAAGCAGTATTAAAAATAATATACGTATGAACGACTATTATAATATAAACTATATAATATTGAACAGGTAGACTTTGGGGTTTTTTTTTTTATATTGCCTCATTGTCTATTCAAACAACATATCCTTACACACTTAAAATAAAGTATTAATTTATTTGATTCTCTAGAAATTGTTTAGAAATACCCTACTTGGCAAAACAATATTTGCCGGGTCAGCTAGTAGTAATAATATTTATTATACTTACAAATCTTTCGGCATGTCTTTGTTGATTCCTTGCAGCAGTCTGTCCCTCACTCTTCTCCTGTCTTCCTCCATCACTCTGCGTTTGTCACATGTGTCAGATTCAGAAGACTAATGTATCGTACAGCAAAGATTCTTTGATTTCACGATCAATCTGCGAATCCGTGTGGAAACTAGGAGAATGGTTCACCTGGAAATAAATAAAATAATGAAAAAAATGTGGAAACCAACAAAAAAGACTTGGATGTGAAGCCTTGAAAGCAAGACCTCTAAATACTTATAAGCTACTACTTATTTTCTTAAAGCACTGATGATACCATATTTAACTAACTTTTTAAGACTTTTATTACTCCTTTATGTTTTATAACTCTTTTATATTATAATTCTAATAAGACAAAAGAGACCAAGTACGTCAGATGTGTCCGAGCAAATTCAAAATAATAATATAAAATTCCTATTATGTAAACGTCATTTCATTTCGTATAGTCTAATTAAATATATACTAATTTTGTTTTATCTCGTTGTGACATCGAGCGCAAATATTTTTTTATATGCAGTAACCCTCTTATAATGCGTAATTTCATGAATGCAAATTGTTTTAGGTGTTAGCTAATTAATCTTTAAGATTTTATTTTTTCCGTCTTACCTCGAGCACATAAGGTTTCATCTTTGCATCAATTAGTACATCAAATCCTAGGATTTCGAAGCAGGCTTGGGCATAATCGTGTGATTTGAAGCAAGCATTGTAGCTGTGCCTCAAAATTGGAACAGCCGACACAACAGTCTTTACAATCACATCATCGATATTATGCCAAAGTGATTTTAAATCAATGCCTCGAGAAGTGAGGTCACGGTTCAAGCTTGATATCTTCCTAGTAGAAAAAATTAAACACAGACAAATTTTATTAACTTCGAAAAAAAGTTTCTTTTTGTCGGAAAATCCAATTGTTAATTTTATGTTTTCTCAACATTTCAAGTCATTCTGAATAAAAATTTGATCTATCGTCTAAGTTTTCTCAAAAACCGGCTGCACCCATGTGAAAATGATTAAAATCCATTCCATGTATCTCGATAAAAACACGCAAAACAAAAACTATTTTACATATATAGTAATAAAATTAAGACTAGTTAGTTTAGTATTTAGTATTTTTAATCAATAAAAAATAATTTGATTTATGAGTGATTAGAAGTATTCCGAGTGGATTTATTACACATGATTGAAAACGAACTCTTTGACTCGGAGTATTTTCTAGTAGCAAATTTTCAAAAATCATCAGATTTTATAATTGAACCAGTTTCCATAGGACTTTAATGGTTTACTATGCTCATTAAAACCAAGTACTCTATCGTTATACCAAGTAAATCGTCTAATTTTAATTTTAACAAACGTCAAAAAAACTACTCATTTTCTTAATCTTTGATTAATTTATTAAACTACTTGTCGTAAGGCCGTGATATTTCAGTAAGTTCTATAAGACCATGATATATATCGCCAAAAAAAGTTCCATGAAAAACAGCTTAAATTTTTTTTTCAACAGTTAATTACGAGAGAAAACGGCTCGGTAGATTTTCACCTAAAACTAAATCAGTATCATTCCCAACTAATATCTTTCGAACAGTTTTTGATTTTTTAAAATCGGTTCGGTGGTATTAGCTTAAATGTGGACGAAAAGTTTAACACTTTTTTTCAAATTACAAAGAAACGGCTCGGCAGATCGTCTCACAAAACTGACAAATTGTAGTCCTCATTGAGATACATCGAATGGCTTTTAAATTTCTGAAAGGTCTAATTTTGACAAATGCCAAAAAAATGATACCAATTTTTGCAAACTTTGACGAATTTCTAAAGCAAAACGACTTGTCGTAGGGCCGTAATATTTTAGTATGATCTACAAGACTATGGTACCTACCGCAAAAAAAAAATCATAAAAATCGTCGATTTTTTTTTTTTAAACTTTATTACAAGAAAACGGTCCGGCCGATCTTTACCAAAAACTAATCAGCACGATTCCCAATCTATATCTATCGAACGGTTTTTGAATTTTCAAAATCGATTCAGAATTGCGGGCTAAAACGTGGACAAAAAATTTTTCACTTTTCTGCGATTTACAAAGAAACGGCCCGGCCGATCGTAGCACACAACTAAGAAACGCTAGTCCTCATCGAGATACATCGAATGGCTTTCAAATTTTTGAAATCGATCCAGTCGTTTTTGAGAAAACGTCGATTTACGGCAAAAAATCTGTTCACACACACACACACACACACATATACTTTTTCCAAATTTGGTCTTATTCGATTCAGAATGGCTTAAAACGTCGAGAAAACATAAAATTAGCGAGTCGGATTTTTTGATGAAAACATAAACTTCTCCTTCGGGAAGTTAATAAAACATATATTTTATACCTTTTGCTGCCACTTTCACTGTCAACAACAAACGTCCTGCTATGCTTATTGACCGCGTAATTAGTCAAATGCATGAAGACGTTCGTGGTGTTATGTCCGCACGGCTCCTTATATCTGCTAGTAGCAAATCTAAAAAACATCAAAATAATAATTTTAATCAAACAAACATTTTTCAATTTATTAGTTTATATTGGTAGATAACAAATTAAAAATAGAGAAACAGACCTTTACCTCACAAGGCCGTCTTCGTACACGTACATCCTCAAAGGATCGCAGGATGTTATGAGAGCGTACACTCGGAGATCAAATTTGTAACCATCGACAAGAAGTGGCTGTACAAATAAATATTGTATTAAAAATATACAAATTAATATTTATTACAACTAAAAATTAAATTGTGAGTCCAGTAAATAAATGCCGGGCTTTATTTCCTGAGCTTACAAATGAAATCTTGAAATTTTTGGGAAGGCAGGTCCAGCGGTTATGGACTCTTAATAAAAATAAGTTAAAAAAATGACATTTTGCAGTCAAAAATATTTATTGGACATATATACATCAAATTATCAGATATTTTATAAAGATTTTAATAATGTGTACACATTTTGTGTAATTTTTTTGAGTTTCGCACCAAAATTTTTGATTGCGGTACGGGAAGTTCCCGCAATTTGCCTTAAGGCACGATGCCATGCACCACTAGTTATGATTAGAATTGACCTAAATTCGCAGTTTCTGAGGAAATCTGTCGTCGTGTTCAGAATTGTATCTTTTATCGGTTCTGAAGATATTTATTGGATTTAAAATCTTTGGTAATGTGGTCTCGGTGTTTATTGAGAATTCTTTGCATTGCTTAATTATTTTTTTTAGTTTATTTTTGTTTTATTTCAATATAATATACAATAACAATGCTTTATGAGTTTACTACTAAAAGTATTTTACTCTAACTTAATTCTACATATAATCCACTTTAAATTACACATTTTGTTTAAAAATAAAATAACGGTTTGTGATCGAAAAAAAAGATAGTTGAAACATTCTTACAAAAAAAAATCACAGTCTTTAAATATATATTTAATTTACATACTTTAAATTATTAGATAATTTTATTTTTCTCACGCTGTCAAATAATATATTTTATTTTTATATATATTTTTATTTTAATATATATTTTATTTTTCTCACGCTGTAATAATATATAGCTGAATGTACTAGGTATAGTTTGCTATGGAAAATAAACCAAAAAAAGATACTTTTATTTGTGTCGTTCAGGATCCATTTGTGAACATATTATTCGTTATTCGTATAAGTAGAATAATAGCTTTAATAGGTAACTGTTTAATTGCTAAGTTCTGTATACTATCTGGTCCCCGAGCTTTTTTGTTAGACAGTTTCTTAACAATATTTTTAACTTCCGCAACTGTCACTATCTCTATTTTGTGATTTATGTTATCAGTATCGTTTATATATTGTCTTACCCTGGAACTAACAGTATGTTCAAAAGCATTTTGAGCAATAGAAAGATTGTACTGATGTGCTAATTCGAAATTGGATGCTAAAATTTCGGCCTTTTGTTTGGGTGTCGTTGCAAAATTATTGGAATTTATATGTAAATATGGTATGGGAGTAGAAGTTTGGGTTAGTCTTTTTGCAGTGTACCAAATTTTATTTGGATAATATTTATTAGTTTATCAGCCTATATTTTATTACGATAAACCCTAATATCCTCAGTAATTATTCTAGTAAGTCTGTTTATATGCTCTTTGAGGAACGTGGCGCCTGATTTTTGCCACAACTTTTTAATTTAATTTTGGATATAATTTCCCAAGGTAAACTAATTGTTTGTGTTGAAGTGGACTTTCGCAATGGAATGGTTTTACTTATGGCATCAGTAATAGTAGTTGTTAGGTATTCTACAGCTTGATCTATATTATCATTGTTCTCGATTTGTCTGTTGTGACATATATTATTATTTATTATTTTCTTATAGAGCGGCCAATTGGCTTTATTATAGTCTAAAGCATTCTTGTAGGACTGAGGATTGTCGTCAAGTGGGTTAGAGATACTTATAAAGACTGGATTGTGATCTGAGTTAAATAAAGATTTGGTCATAAGTTCAGAAAGAATAGATAAGTTCTTTGTAAGGGCTAAATCTATTGTGCTATGTCTATTGGTATCGTAGGAAATCTAGTTGGAGTTTGAGGAAAATGTAGTTGAATAATATTATGGATTTTGTTTAAGTACTTAATTTTATGTAAGTCTGCATGTAATAGTTTTGCAGAAGGAACATACATGAAGACAATGGTTATTTTACGTCCTCTATTGAACACATTTATAGCAGTAATTTCAGAGTGTTTTACAGATAGTAACGGTAGTTCTTCATGTCTGATACAAGCTTTTATGAATATTGCAGTACCACCCCATCCTGTAGTTGTTCATGTATAATTTGTTAGTGGGTTTTAAGTGAGTTTCATTTATTGGTACGATGTCTAAGTCCATTGTAACGATCGTTTGTCTGAGTTCATCAATGCTATTTTTTATTCCATACTTGTCAATTATAAGCATTTAGTAAGAAAGTTTAAAATTGTAGTATATTTTTCATTGTATGTCATGTTGGTATTTATAGTCTTTGTGAGTGCATAAAGTTCCCTGAAAATTTTTATTACCTCAGGATCTGAAAAAAAGCAACTTCATTTGACTTATTGCAGCACGGTGGAGTTGGAATCATGATCTTGATTCGATGAAGTTGTGTACTTCTTTGTTCAGAAATAGCTTGGAATTTTGGTAGTTCCATCTGGACAGTGTGTCTGGCATCTCTCGGCTTCAGCGTTTCAGAATAGCTTTTTGTCATAGGTTTGGGTTCAATGGCTGCATGAATATGTTGTTTTATAGCCTTGTAATTCAGTGAGGATGTACACTTTGAATAGTTTGCTGAGTGATAGTCTTTACAGTTAACGCACTGGGGCTTTTCTTCTGATGATTTTTGGCAGCAGCCAGGAGAATGTGCTTTTGTGCATTTAATGCATCTATATTTCATATCACACGAGTAAGACGTATGTCCAAAACTTGGACATTTATGACATTGTAGGATTTTGAAATTTAGCCTATACATTTCCCATTTAATAATATGACCATTTAAGTGTGTTATTTCTTTTACTTTTGACACGTCCTGCGATTTTTCAAGCAAAATTATATAAATTGGAAAATTATGTTTTTGTCCATCAGAATAGTTTTTTTTTAATTGTATGACCTTTTGCACAAGAATACCTCGTACACTCAGTAATTCAAACACCTCTAATTCAGTAATTGCTGGATGTAAGCCTGTTAGCGTGAGTTTCTTTGTTGTTTTTTAAGTGGAATACGTATAAAACTGGTAACTGCAATCTCTTAATGTACTATTTACATTACTCCACAAAGTAAACTCAGTAGCGACATCTATTCCTATATGCGATAAGCACTTGAACGTCGGGTTTTATTCGCTCGAAAAAGAAAATCCACAGAAATCTGTAGTAAAAGGCAAAAGGTTTATTCGCTCTGAGGGAAACCAGAATGACAAAGGGGTAGTCCAGGTGTTTGTGTAAAATAAAGTTAACTTCAAGAATATTTGATTTAGATTATCATCGGCCCAGCAAGTGAATGCCAGGCTCACAAAAAATTGAGAATAGTCTCATTTGAGTGCTCCCCTCCACGGAAATCTTTAGTAAAAGGCGAAAGATTTATTCGCTCTGAAGGGAAACCAGAGTGACAAACAAGTAGTCGAGGCGTTGCTTAACAATATAGGGTCTGCATTTTGGGGCCGGCCAGCGTATGAATTCCACAAAGTAAACACAGCAACGACATCTATTCCTATATGCGATAAGTACTTGAACTTCGGGTTTTATTCGCTCGACAAAGAAAATCCAATGAAATCTGTAGTAAAAGGCGCAAGGTTTATTCGCTCTGAGGGAAACGAGAGTGACAAAGGGGTAGTCCAGGTGTATAACTGTTTGTGTAAAACGACGTTAACTTCAAGAATATTTGATTTAGATTATCATCGGCCCAGCAAGTGAATGCCAGGCTCACAAAAAATTGAGAATAGTCTCATTTGAGTGCTCCCCTCCACGGAAATCTTTAGTAAAAGGCGAAAGATTTATTCGCTCTGAAGGGAATCTGAATTAACTTCAAGAATATTTGATTTAGATTATCATCGGCCCAGCAAGTGAATGCCAGGCTCACAAAAAATTGAGAATAGTCTCATTTGAGTGCTTCCCTCCACGGAAATCTTTAGTAAAAGGCGAAAGATTTATTCGCTCTGAAGGGAAACCAGAGTGACAACAGGTAGTCGAGGCGTTGCTTAACAATATAGGGTCTGTATTTTGGGGCCGGCCAGCGTATGAATACCACAAATTAAACACAGCAGCGACATCCATCCCTATATGCGATAAGTACTTGAACTTCGGGTTTTATTCGCTCGAAAAAGAAAATCTGCGGAAATCTGTAGTAAAAGGAGAAAGGTTTATTCGCTCTGAGGGAAACTAGAGTGACAAAGGGGTAGTCCAGGTCTATAACTGTTTGTGTAAAACGACGTTAACTTCAAGAATATTTGATTTAGATTATCATCGGCCCAGCAAGTGAATGCTAGGCTCACAAAAAATTGAGAATAGTCTCATTTGAGTGCTCCCCTCCACGGAAATCTTTAGTAAAAGGCGAAAGATTTATTCGCTCTGAAGGGAAACCAGAGTGACAAACAGGTAGTCGAGGCGTTGCTTAACAATATAGGGTCTGTATTTTGGGGCCGGCCAGCGTATGAATTCCACAAAGTAAACACAGCAGCGACATCTATCCTATATGCGATAAGTACTTGAACTTCGGGTTTTATTCGCTCGAAAAAGAAAATCCACGGAAATCTGTAGTAAAAGGCGAAAGGTTATTCGCTCTGAGGGAAACGAGAGTGACAAAGGGGTATAACTGTTTGTGTAAAACGACGTTAACTTCAAGAATATTTGATTTAGATTATCATCGGCCCAGCAAGTGAATGCTAGGCTCACAAAAAATTGAGAATAGTCTCATTTGAGTGCTCCCCTCCACGGAAATCTTTAGTAAAAGGCGAAAGATTTATTCGCTCTGAAGAAAAACCAGAGTGACAAACAGGTAGTCGAGGCGTTGTTTAACAATATAGGGTCTGTATTTTGGGGCCGGCCAGCGTATGAATTCCACAAAGTAAACACAGCAACGACATCTATTCCTGTATGCAATAAGTACTTGAACTTCGGGTTTTATTCGATCGAAAAAGAAGATCCACTGAAATCTGTAGTAAAAGGCGAAAGGTTTATTCGCTCTGAGGGAAACGAGAGTGACA